AGGAGTGGGAACCAGAGCACCTTTTCCTTCCCTCCTGCTTGCCCTAAACCTGAAAATCATCTCCTGGCAAGCTCCAAAAACTGAAAAGCAGCATCTGCCCTGGATGCACAGCATTCAATTCATTGCCCCTCAGTTCAAGAAGGACAGGGAACTGCTGGAGAGGGTCCAGCGTAGGGCTACAAAGACGATGGAGGGAGTGGAGCATCTCCCTGATGAGGAGCGGCTGAGGGAGCTGGGTCTCTTTAGTTTGCAGAAGAGGAGACTGAGGGGAGACCTCATTCATGTTTATAAATATTTAAAGGGTGAGTGTCACAAGGATGGAGCCAGGCTCTACTCGGTGACAAACAATGAGAAGACAAGGGGTAACGGACACAAACTGGAACACAGGAGGTTCCACTGAAATTGGAGAAGAAACTTCTTCTCAGTGAGGGTGACAGAGCCCTGGCCCAGGCTGCCCAGAGAGGTTGTGGAGTCTCCTTCTCTGCAGACATTCAAAACCCGCCTGGACGCCTTCCTGTGTAACCTCATCTGGGTGTTCCTGCTCCGGCAGCGGGATTGGACTGGATGAGCTTTGGAGGTCCCTTCCAATCCCTAACGGTCTGGGATTCTGTGATTCATCCCAAGTTGCTGCCGATTCACCCAAACCCCACGTTTGTCTAAATACTAAGCACAGCTTAATTAAAAGCCCATTAGGGCAATGCCTAGACTATACAACTCCAGTGATTCTCTTCTTCAAGCTGCTCACCACTGGGGGGAAAAAATAAGAATAAACATAAATTAAAGCACTTGCACGTGCCTCCCCCTGGCACAGCCAAATCCAATGGGATGGATGGAGCAGCCGAGAGAAATGCAAAATGCAGGCAGCAACAAAAGGCTCTTCTGAGGGCCGAGGGTGCAGGGGGAGCGGATGACCCCTTCCTTATCTCACTTTTCCACCGGGCTGCCAGGGAGAGTTGGATATGGCCAGCCCGGAAACAGGATACAGCCCAGGAACACCCACGTGCTGGGCCTGACCGCCAAGCGCTGGGAAGAGGGGCATGGAGGTCACGGGAATTGTCTGCCAGAAAAAAAAACCCACACTGGGAGCAGCCCAGCAATGCTGCCCCACTGGGGTCTTCCTCCAGGACCCTCAGGGCTGAGCGTAGAGGCAGGAGGCAGCAGCAAGGCAGGGCATCATTTGGGGTCACCGGAGAGCATCAGGCAGCCGCTTGTTTAGCTCTGCAGCCGCAAAGGACGCAGTAAAGCACGAGAGACTTCCCACCAGCTACATGGCCACCTCCCCATAATACATAAAGGAGGGAGGAAATAAAATTAACTTATCCTAAATAATTTCACAGTAGCTATTTCTGCAAATAGTCAGGTCCCCGGTGGCTCAACCTGCTGAGCCCAGGTTTTGTCTCCCAGCCCTGAAAAAACGCAGAGGACTCCATAAACCAGGACGCAAATGCCTGGGGAGCCACAGATGTTACCAAGTGATTAAATGCCTTGTTTTTCCTTCCCCCGGTCAATCGTTCATGGCCATTAATTGAAAACACGGATCAATGGCAGCTGCAGGCAAGAGCACCACTGGCAGGGATATGGCTCAAACCATTCCAACAGGGACGATGCTGAGTCCTGAGCTCAGCCCTGCCAAGGCCCACAAAATAGTTGCACAGCTTAAAAAAAAAACCCAACCCTAACACAAATTATTCTTTCTCCACTTCAGCTCTACACAAGCTCCCACGTAAAACCAGCTGTGGCCAGCTGTGGGATGCCTCCGGTGTGGGCACGGGTGGGTCCCCTCCAGAGAATGGGACTGAGGAACCAGAGGAGCCTTCAGGGCTGGGAGTGGAGTGGGATGGACTGGTCCTGCCCTCTGCCGGCTGCAGGATGCTGGGCAGGATGTGGGATGGAGCACGATGGTGCCAGATGGGCAGGATGCTGGGTGTGATGCAGGATGGCACCAGATGGGCAGGATGCTTGGGGGGTAGTAGGATAATGCAGGATGCGGGATGGTGCCAGACAGGTGGGATGCTGGGTGGAATGTGGGACAGCACCAGATGGGCAGGATGCTGGGTGGGATGCAGGACGGCACTGGACAGGCAGGATGCTGGGTGGGATGCAGGACGGCACTGGACAGGCAGGATGTTGGGTGGGACGGAGGACAGGATGCAGGATAGCACTGGGTGACCACAACCAAAGGAGCCCTGGCACCTCTCTGGTGACACACCAGAAAGCTTCAGCACAAGAAGGCACCCAGCTTCAGCAGGGCTGGTGCCAGAGCCTGGCTGGGGTGCAATGGGCCCAGGTGGCCCCATACCAATGGGGAAGAGGGCACACAGGTGCCACTCACCTGCCGGTAGGTGCAGATGATGATTTCTCGGAGGTGGTAGTGCATGGGCGTCATGGTCTCGCTGACTGTGTCCAGGGCCATGTCCACCTCCTTCTTCAACCGGTGACCATCGGGCAGGAGCTGGACCACCTTCATCACCACCTGGAGCACAGGTAGAAGCAGCAGAAGCTTCACCGGATGCCTCCTCACTTCAAACCCACTGCTCCATCCCTGTCTAGGAGGGGACCCAGCCTCTCCAAACAAGCAGCTTACTACTAAGGTAGTAAGGTGTAGGGACTCTAAAACAGAGTCAGACCCAAGGACTCACCTCAAACTCCCCTTTGGTGTACTTGGCATCAGGCACGCTCACAATTTCCTCCTCGCTCATCTCAGGGATTCCCTGGGGCAATCAAAAAGGACCTGGCCATCAGGGGCTGCATGGCCCCATCTTGGCTGCCCAACAACTGAGCAGAAATGCAGACCCCCCAAACTCAACCCACTAGGAACCCAGACATTCTCCACCTCCCCTCTGCACCAGCAGAGAAGCCCAAAATTTTATGCCCATCTACTCTGCAAAGGGGGTGGATGTCTCTCCAGCACTTCACACTTCATCCTAGGGTGGGAGCTCTCAGAAATGGGGTTGCCAGGGATGAACCTGCACCTCTCCTTGAGCTCATTTGGGATTTGGCACAACAAGAGGCCAACAAACAGGAATCTGCTCCCCACAGCCCACCTGAGCCCTCTTTTTAATCCCCCCACTGCAATGATGGCTGCTGCGGGCTGTGCTGAGGTTCCCCAGCAGCCCCGGCTCTGGCCTGACCCCCAGGAAGAGTGGCAGATCCCAGTACCCACGTTGAAGTGCCAGAGGGTGAGAACAGCGATGACCATGGCTGTGGTGGTCCTGCCCCGGCCGCTGGAGCAGTTGAACACGAAGGCTGCATGTGAGTCCTCGGCCAGGGCGCTCTTCATGGCCTCCAGCAACCGGTCAAAGTCCTGTCAAAGCAAAGCCGGGGGTGTTTTATGGGTGCAGTCCACCTGCCTTCCCCACCACAGGATGCCCCTTCTCCACACAGCATCCCCCAGGAGATCCTCCCTGTACCAGCAAGCACCTTGCACCGAGCATGGGCACACCACCATAGTCCTGGAGCTGGGTAGCACCGAGCACCCAAATGCCATTCACCCCACAGCAGCAGGGATGGCTTGAGAAGGAGCTGGCAGCACTGTCCCATCCCCAGGGTACCTGCTCCTTGGGAGCGCAGAAGTCAGGGATAGGGATGCGGCAGTAGGACAGCCCCTGGCAGGTGTTCTTCTGCTGGCTGAATATCTCCTGCGTGGTCAGGCAGCTCTTGAACATCTTCATCTGCTTCTCTGCCTCTAGGTACACCTCCAGCCACTTCTGGCACTTCAGCAGGTCACCCTTCAGGGTAGCCTCTAGTTTCTGTGGAGAATGGAGAAACCCTCACCGTAAGACCCCCTCCTCTTTGTTTTTTTCAGGATTTTAATTGTATTTTTTTCAGATGTAGGCTGACATCTCCCTCAAACACCCCACAGCCAACTCAAAACCTCACACCAAGTCCTAGCTACCGCTTCTGCCCAAGACCACAGTCCCCACAGTGCTTGATGGGAGCCTTAGGAGCATCATCTCACACCACCCCGGGCAGCTCCTCCATGTGACCGTGATGCTGCTGGCAGCCAAGCTCCTCCACT